GACCTCCACGACGCAGCTGCGGGGGGGCTCGTCTCCCGACACGGTGGTGGCTGAGCCCCCTGGGGGCCATACTCTGGGTCTGGGCGCCCCCCGCAGGACGCAGCAGAGCAACTGGCCAATCCAGGCCAACTCCCCCGCAGCCCACCTCCAGGCCCTCGCGGGCCCTCTGTCCGCAATGGGACTCTGCTTCGGAGGGGGCAACTGTCTCTCCACCACCTCGGGAGCCAAACCCCGACCTTCGCACCTTCGCGCCTCGGCCTGGCTCCAGCCGAACAGCGCGCGCAGCTCCGCCTCCGCGGCCGCGCAGAAGCGCTGCCAGCCCGCGTCAAGCTGCTGCTGGGGGCCCCTCTCGAAGTCCACCTTGGGGGACTCCACGGGCGCGGTGGGCTGGGAAACCGGCGGCGGCCGCTCGGTGGGATGCCGGCGAGGTCCCTTGAGCGCCTCCACCTTGTAGGCGTGCCAAGGCCTGGATGCTCGGATCCACGTGGGCCTGCGCGGCCTGTAGGGCATGCGCTCGAATGACTGCACGGGGCCGAGGATGGAGGCCAACCGACCATCCAACCAGAGAAGTCGATTACGCGATCCACGAAAGACTTCATGCCATGCTTCACAACCTTGGTCCGACACGCGCCTCCTTCCCTTCGCCATGCCAGGACCTGCCCGTGAACTTGATGATCCCAAGGACTCCTCAAGATGCTGTCTGGCTCGATGCTGAAGTCGCCCATGGCGATCCACGGGAGGCAGAGCTGCCTAATCCAGTGAACGACCTCATCCAGGTTGGCTGTATTCAGATGCCACGTGACGGGCTCGCCCGTGAATAGGCACAACGCGAAAAAGGCGACCCAGCCGATGCCTCTCACCTCCGTGAGGCCTAAGCAGAGCCGTCCTGGAGCTCCCGCAGGCGATATGTCCCTGTCCTTTTCTCCAGGCGCCCTGGACAGTGCTAGGCAAGTGGGCGTGATCAAAGCGACTCCAGCCGAAAGACAGCCCTCCTCCGCACGGGTAGCTGGTGCGCCGACCACCCGCCAGTCTCGTCTCAACGTGGCTGCCGCCAAAACCTGAAGCCAGTCCGCTGGCTTACCATGCTCCTGCACGGCCACGACGGGAATGCCACCTCGCTGGGTCAGCGTGGCGATCCCCTCCTCCAGAAACTCCTCCACTCTCGACCAGGACAGGCTGGCGTTGAGGGAGGACGCAAGCAGATGGCGGTCTCCGCGTCTGCCTCGGCGCCGACCACCGCGCCCTGCTGAGGGTCGGTCAAACCCCCTGCGGCGGCATCGGCAGCGCGGCGTCGCCGTGCTCCTCGTGGAAGGAACCCAGCACGACCCGCTTGGCCGCCCGCCCCTCCCCGGGAAGGTCTGCCACGAAACGCTCGATGAACTCATCCCTCTTGCGCTGGGCGTCTTCAACATCCACTGTACTGGGATCCGCACAGGGTCTCTAGCAGCTGCTCCTGCGCCAGCGGAAGGTGCGGCTGAGCCTCCCCCGCCCGCTGTGGCTCCAGCGTCGGAACCTGCAGCTCCTGCACCTGCAGCTCCTGCCGCTGGGGGCTGTGGGTGGGCACCTGGGCGCGCAGCGTCCACCCCCGCGCCCGCCTGAGGAACCCCCTTGACCAGCGCCAGCTGATTGCGCAGAGCCTGGGCCACGCCGTCGGGTAGCTGGGAACCGCCGTCCATGTCGTCATCGCCCGCCCAGGAGCCGACCAACGCCTCCAGGCCACTGACCAGCTGCTGCGCCACCGCTGGACCGCAGTGTGGTGCGCCGCCTGCGGCGCCGACCCCCGCAGGTTGGGCAGGCTGTTGCTGCTGGGCCAGGCGCTGGGCCAAGGCAGCCTTCTCCTGCTGCAGCGACTCCAGCTCCCGCGCCCAGATCCGCTCCTGCTCCTGCGCCTGGGCCAGCCGCCGTTCGAGGTCGGGGACGACCTCGTCTCGCTGTAGTCCCAACTTCTTGCCGACCGCCGCCATCTTGCCCTCCAACTACTGGAGCTGCTGGTAGAGGGGCTTGCCAGCCCTGCGCTCGGCCACCAGCTCGGCGCGGACCTTGCGCTTCCGTTCCAGGACCTCGGCCAGGCTGGCGTCCTCCAGAGCCTCCAGCGCGGCGATGGACCTGCCGAGGGCGGTGAGGGGGTCTGCTCCGTCGTGTCTCGCCTGCTGCTGCTGCTGCTGCTGCTGCTGCTGCTGCTGCTGCTGCTGCTGCCGGGGCTTCTGCTTGAGCATGCCAACTCTAGAGCCGTGGTAGCCCTAAGCACCCCCAGCAGGCTTGCGAGGAGCAACAGCACCGCCCTTGTCCTTGGAGCCATTGCCGCCGATGGGCTGCCAAGGAGCGCGAGTGGGCGGCTCCTCTCTGGCCGCGCACGCGATCGCCTGCTGGACGGCTCGCGGCGCGGGAAACATGCAGGCGCGGCACTGCATCTTCGTGGCGAAGTTGCCTCCGACCCCGCAGTGGCCGCACGTCCATGGCGCCGCTCCCTGCAGGGCAGACAACTGGCGCGTGCACGGGACATGGTGCCACGGGGCCATCAAACGAACCGTAGATGGCAGTGGACACGGGAGTGCTGCGGGTGCAGGCAAGAACGAAGAAACAGAGACCGGGGGGGGCCGCCGATCCCCCCCCACTAAGGCCAAGTCTGAGCCGAATGGCTACGGACTTGAGCCAACATGGCTACGGCCCCCGCCTCCCTCTCCTCCTCCATCCTCATCCTCCTCCTCCTCCTCTTCCTCCTCCTCCTCCTCCTCCTCCTCCTCCTCCTCCTCCTTCCCTTCCCTCCTCCTCCCCCCTTTTCCTCCTTCTCCTTTCCTCCGACCCCTCCCCCCTCCTCCCTCCTCCTTCAACCCCTTTCCGTTTCCTTCTCCTCCTCCTCCTCCTCCTCCCTCCACCTACACTCCTCCGCCCCACCTCCTTCTCTTTCTTCCTCCTCCTCCTCTCCTCCTCCTCCTCCTACCTCCTCCTCCTCCTCCTTCTCCTCCTCCCTCCTCCTCCTCCTCCTCCTCTCCCCTCCCATCCCATCACCTTCCTCCTCGCTGCTCCTCCTCCTCCTCACTCGACCTACTCGTCCTCGCTCATCGTTCTCTTCAACCTCCTCCTCCTCCTCCTCCCACCTCCTCCTTCCTCCTCATCCCCCTCCTCTTCTCCTCCCTGCCCTCCTTCTCGCCGTCCATCCTCCTCCTCCTCCTCCTTCTGCTCCTCCTCCACCCTTCCTCCTCACTCCTCCTCCCCTCCTCCTCCCTCCTCCTCCCCTCCCTCCTCCCTCCTCCCTGCTCCCTGCTCCCTCCTCCCTCCTCCCCCTTGCCTCCCTACTCCCTCCTCCCTCCTCCCTCCTCCTCCCTCCTCCCTCCTCCCTCCTCCCTCCTCCCTCCTCCCTCCACCCTCACATCCCGCCACCCGCCTCCCGCCTCACCTCTCTCCCTCCTCCCGCCTCCCGCCTCCCTCCTCCCTAGACCTCCTCTCCTCCGCCTCCCTCCTCCTCCTCCTCCTCCCTCCACTCCTCCTCCTCCTCCTCCTCCTACCTCCTCCTCCTCCTCCATCCCCTCCTCCTCATCCCCTCGACCTACTCGTCCTCCTCCTCCTCCTCCTCCTCCTCCTCCTCCTCCTCCTCCTCCCTCGCCTCCTCCTCCACGCCTACTCCTCCTCCTGCTTCCTACGTCCTCGTCCTCCTCCTCCTCCTCCGCCGCCTCCTCCTCCTCCTCCTCCCGTCCTGCTCCTCCTCGTTTACTCCTCCTCCCTCCTCCACCCTCCTCCTCTCCTCCTCCTCCTCCTCCTCCTCCTCCTCCTCCTCCTCCTCCTCCTCCTCCTCCTCCCGAACCCGGGCGCCGAAAGCTGCCAGTCACCGTCCAACGGCTGTCTCTGTTGACTGACGGAGAGTGTGACCGGAATCCCAAAACTTGGGACTCAAAACGTGGGACCCCGGGGTATGAACAGTCGGGGGGCGTCCATCCTCGAGAGGGATGTGTCCGAAGAGCTCCTCCAGGAGCCGATCGCGGCCCAACTTGTCGGGCGGACTTCAGGGACCGGGGGAGAAGAGTCGCCTGCGATTCGCGACTCAAGGAGGCATGGGAACTGGCGTGAAGCAGACGGTCCTGAGGGACACGGGTCCAGGGCCCCGGGGCCGTTCCCCCCTGGACTGGCTCCCCGCCCCGAGCCGATTCCAAGCGAAACAACCCTGTGGCCCTCGGAGGGCCCAGAGCGGCCCAGCGCGGCGAGACACCTCGCTAGGACGGGCCTCTCTCGGGACCTGGCCGGTTCATGACGATCTGGGGAGGGGCGGGGGCGCCCGGGCATCCGCCGAGACGGTGTTCGTTCTACCCGCGGGCCCAGGAGGCCTCGACCGCGTCCCTGGGGGGACCCAGACCCCTTCGAGTCATGAAAAAATCACGACGAGAGGTTTTTCACTATTTTCGGCCTCTGGGGGCCCTTACCGGCCCTCAAGACCGTCAAAAAACGACTCAGGATGAAAAGCCGGTCCTGGGGAATGGGTCTGGACCTCTGGGGGCCGCGTCATGAAAAAATCATGACGTCGGGGGTCTGGGGAGACTCTTCTCGTCCCGCTGCAATGTTCCATTGTTCCGGGACCCGAGAACGGCCTCCGAGTGCCAGGACTGAGAATGAGGCGCCCGTTCGAAAAAATGGCCCAGCACAGCACCCTGATGGCTGCAAAGGTAGCCAGGCGCGTCGAGGAGTAAGAGGTCGGCCACTGAAAAAATGTATTCCTGTGTAGTTGGAGGGTGAGGGCACGGCCATGTGCAGCTTAGTGCATCGTTAACCAAAGGACGGCCGTCCGGACCAAAAATGTAGCCCAACGGATGACCGTCCGGACCACACATGTAGCCGCCACTGTGGCGAGGGCACGATTCAAATGAATGATAAGAGAATCTCGGGCGAAACGGCTGCCCGACCGAAACACGCTACGTAGGGCTCCCGTCACCCTCGTGGGACTCTTCTGCAGCCCGCTAGTAGGTCACCAAATCGTCGGAGAACTGGGTATCGGCGGGCCCTCGGGCGGCCTTGGCCGGCGCCGGCATGCCCACGACGTCTCCAGAGTAGCCCGAGGCCGTGGAGAGGAGAACGCCCACGATGGTGGCCGCCAGAACCTGTGGCAGGCGCTCTGGGCAAGAGACCGAGGACCTCCTCCTCCTTCTCCTCCTCCTCCTTCTCCTCCTCCTCCTCCTCCTCCTCCTCCTCCTGCTCCTCCTCATCATCATCTTCCTCCTCTTACTGCTGCTGCTGCTGCTGCTGCTGCTGCTCCTGCTCCTGTTCGTGATGCTGGTCTTCCTCCTCCTCCTGCTGTTGCTGGTCCACCTCCTGCTGCTGATGTTTAAAATTACTTCTGACGCTTGCCAGACTCTTAGCATGATGCTTGCTCCTCCTCCTCCTCCTCCTCCTCCTCCTCCTCCTCCTCCTCCTCCGTACCTCCTCCGTACCTCCTCCTCCTCCTCCTCCTCCTCTCCTTCCCAACCCTCCACACTCCTCCTCCACCCCCCTTATCGCTCCTTTTCCTTTCCTTCTCCCCTCCCCCCTCCTACCTCCCTCCTCCTTCAACCCCTTCCCGTTTCCTTCTCCTCCTCCTCCTCCTCCTCCTCCTCCTCCGCCCCTCCTCCTTCATTTCCTCCTCACCATCCTCCACCTCCTCCTCCTCCTCCTCTCGTCCTCTCCTCCTCCTCCTCCTCGGAGGCTTCGTCGCCAGGCCCGGGTCCGCCTTCATAAATCCCTGGTGCTGGTCAGAAGAGAAGGAGAGCTCGCTCCCGGGACAGGCCCGGGGGGTCGAGCCTGGCACGGCGAGCTGCTTCCCTGGCGGCTCCGCGCGCAATGCCCCGGCTCCCTGACCCCAGGGCGCGAGAGTATCGGGAGCGGCAAAGGGGGGGGGTCCAAGAGGGGGAGGGGTGCAAAAATCAGGACCGGCGGCACGTGCGCGGCCCAGCGGGGGGGCCAGGGACGCAATGAACTAAGAAGAGGCGCCCTGAAATCTGGGGGAATATCATGGCCCAAGCCATGATATCCACCCCCCCCTAGGCATCACCGCCCTCTTTTCCGCCCCCGAAAGTAGAGGCCTCCCAAATGGGGTCCGGGCAAGATGTGGTCGAAGGATCGCGCCGAATCGCCAACGCATCCAGATGTATCTGCATCGGCGATGCATCGGCGATGCATCGGCGTTGCATCGGCGACGTCGGCGTGTGGCAAGACGGTCTCCGCATCGAGCCGCATCGTCGATGCATCGGCGATGCGGCGCGATCCACCGACCCAATCAACTCCGCTCCCACCTGGGAGGCCTAGACTGATGGAGGCCCCGAGCGAAGTGCTGGGGCTCCCTGACCTTCCAGGGAGCCCATTCGCTAAAGAAACATCCTTCCCAGACCCCCGACGTAATGATTTTTTCATTACGTCGACCCCCAGAGGCCCCGACCCTTTCCCCATGACCGGCTTTGCATCCTGAGTCGTTTTTTGACGCTCCTGAGGGCCGGTGAGGGCCTCCAGAGGCAGAAAATAGCGAAAAACCTCCCGTCGTGATTTTTTCATTACTCGAGGGGGTCTGGGTTGCGCTGAAGAAGAACGGCCTCCAGACCCACGGACCGGCCTGGACTGCTGGCAACCTTGGCTGGAATTGGGGTGCCCAAGGTCACTGTGCTGTGCTGCAGCCCTCCTGGCATGTCGGGGCTGGCTCGGCAGGAAGAGGCCGCCCCGCTCCCCCCCAAGGCGGGGAGGCAGGAGCCGGCCGGCCGCAGGACGGAGCGCGGGGAGGAGGAGGAGGAGGAGGAGGAGGAGGAGGAGGAGGAGGAGGAGGAGGAGAGGAGGAGGAGGAGAGGATGAGGAGGAGGAGGAGGAGGAGAGGCACCCGGACCTCCTCGCGGCTGTGACAGACATCACGACGGGATCCCTTCTGCCATCTTTCGGGAGCGGCAAAGGGGGGGGGTCCAAGAGGGGGAGGGGTGCAAAAATCAGGACCGGCGGCACGTGCGCGGCCCAGCGGGGGGGCCAGGGACGCAATGAACTAAGAAGAGGCGCCCTGAAATCTGGGGGAATATCATGGCCCACGCCATGATATCCACCCCCCCCTAGGCATCACCGCCCTCTTTTCCGCCCCCGAAAATAGAGGCCTCCCAAATGGGGTCCGGGCAAGATGTGGTCGAAGGATCGCGCCGAATCGCCAACGCATCCAGATGTATCTGCATCGGCGATGCATCGGCGATGCATCGGCGATGCATCGGCGTTGCATCGGCGACGTCGGCGTGTGGCAAGACGGTCTTCGCATCGAGCCGCATCGTCGATGCATCGGCGATGCGGCGCGATCCACCGACCCCATCAACTCCGCTCCCACCTGGGAGGCCTAGACTGATGGAGGCCCCGAGCGAAGTGCTGGGGCTCCCTGACCTTCCAGGGAGCCCATTCGCGAAAGAAACAGCCTTGCGCTGAAGAAGAACGGCCTCCAGACCCACGGACCGGCCTGGACTGCTGGCAACCTTGGCTGGAATTGGGGTGCCCAAGGTCACTGTGCTGTGCTGCAGCCCTCCTGGCATGTCGGGGCTGGCTCGGCATGAAGAGGCCGCCCCGCTCCCCCCCAAGGCGGGGAGGCAGGAGCCGGCCGGCCGCAGGACGGAGCGCGGGGAGGAGGAGGAGGAGGAGGAGGAGGAGGAGGAGGAGGAGGAGGAGGAGGAGGAGGAGGGGCACCCGGACCTCCTCGCGGCTGTGACAGACATCACGACGGGAGGCTTTCTGCCATCTTTCGGGAGCGGCAAAGGAAGGGGTCCAAGAGGGGGAGGGGTGCAAAAATCATGACCGGCGGCATGTGCGCGGCCCAGCGGGGGGGCCAGGGACGCAATGACATAAGAAGAGGCGCCATGAAATCTGGGGGAATATCATGGCCCACGCCATGATATCCACCCCCCCTAGGCATCACCCCCCTCTTTGCCGCCCCCGAATCTTCGGCCTCCGGGGGCCCTCGCCGGGCCTCGGGACCGTCAACAGAACGATCCCCTCGGGGTGGAGAGCCGACTCCTCGGGCAAGGGGGTCCAGACCTCTGGGGGTCGCGGCTGTGCCAACAAGTCGCGACGTCGGGGGGCTGGGCGCGTCGAGGAAGAGGAGGGGGAATGGGGGCCCAAAGAAGATAATTACACCACCACCGCGTCAAATTCCTCTGCGGGGGGATGGGGACCCCAAGAATAGACACCTCCTCTAACCCTCCTCTTTCTTCCTCTCCTCCTTCCTGGGAGAGGGAGGGGGCGAGGGGGGAGGTGGTGGTGGTGTCTATTTTGGGGCCCCCCAGGGGAGGATGGATGGGGGATGGGGACCACGTCGATTCCTCTACAGGGGGATGGGGACCCCAAGAATATACACCTCCTCCACCTCCTCTTCCTTCTCCTCTTTCCTGGGAGAGGGAGGGGGCGAGGGAGGAGGTGGTGGTGGTGTCTATATTTTTGGGCCCCCCCAGGGGAGGATGAATGGGGGGCTGGATCAGGGGGGAGCGGAGCAGAGCAGCCAGGAGCCCACATGAAGCGATGCAGCCGGAGGCCCCAAGTTGAGAAAGCAGGGTGCTGGATCAGGGGGGGCGGAG